AATACGTTGATACTTATGACAACCGAGTTTGCATGCATTGTGGCAAAATCGGTCATCTCCGGTATCAATGTCACTCTCGACAAAAGACCTTAGAAAGATGTTTTGACTATGTTCGATATCCATCCTCAAACAAATACAAAATGGAACCCAAGCAAGTATGGGTTCCACGTGCTAACCCATGATTCAGGAACAGCGCCAAGTGAGGGGGAACAATCACTGGTTCCTTAACAGTGGTTGTTCTAAGCACATGACTGGAGACTCATCTTTATTCCTCTCACATCGGCCATTTAGTGGTGGGAAGGTGATATTTGGAGACAACGGCAAAGGAGAAATTGTAGCCATGGGAAAAATCAGAAAATCACCCAACCATTTAATTGATTTTTTTTGTCAATGTTTTAAGTTCAATTTGCTACGTATCTTTCAATTATGAGACGGAGGTAACAATGTTATTTTTAAAGAATACGTGCTTATAATTGTTTCTCAATATATACTTGGACTATCTTTCTTGCTAGTAAGAAAGATACTTTTAATGAGTTTGTTATTTTTGTAAGGAAAGTTGAGCATCAATTAGGGCAGCAATTAATTAAGATCCGTTCGGATCATGGAACCGAATTTGACAATACGCCCTTTGATGCATTCTGCCAAGAACGAGAAGTGGTAGAACGGAGAAATAGAACACTGAAAGATATGACTAGAACTATGTTCTTCTCTAGTGGTCTAGCAAAGAATTTATGGACAGAAGCTCTAAACGCGGAGATTTCACCAATTCCATGAGAAAGGGGGAACCAATCATGAAACCAATCGGCATGAGGAGATAAGAACAGGAACTGACGATAACATGCTTAGAACTGCGGATATACCCAGTCAATCCACTGCCAACCAGACTGAAGAACAGGCAGATCCAGTTCCAGACGACTCACATGAAATTGAAGACCATTCAAGTGCTCCTAGAGGATGGAAACTTCATCGATCACATCCTTTGGATAACCTCTTGATTAACCTAAATCAGGGAGTAACTACTAGATCTAAACCTAGAATTGTTTGTGCTTTCTTTGCTTATCTATCACTTATGGAACCGGAGAACCATGAAGTGGCTCTCTCCGACGCTGACTAGTTTCTAGCTATGCAGAAAGAACTTAATCAGTTTGAGAGAACTAAAGTATGACATGATGAATTGAAAGACCATGACCACTCCTATGGGAACGAATGATAGACTTGACGCCGATGAGAAAGTAACAAGCGTGGACATCAAGATGAGTCGAGAAATGATTGGGTCACTGCTTTACCTAACTGCCAGTTGACCTGACATAGTTTTCAACGTAGGTCTATGTGCCCGGTTCCAGGACAATCCTAAAGAATTCCATCTCAAGGCACATCTGGTCTCTCTACCACGTTGATCATTGGGTTTTCAGCTATTTATTGTTTTGTTGTTGACAAAAGGGGGAAGAATATGTGCCCTACGTGTTCTATGCTTGATACTTTGTGCTTATCCATTATGAAACTAACTTTAGGGCACCAAGTGTTTGTCAACAACAAAAAAGGGGAATTTGTTGGAACATATTGTTTTGTTGATGACAAACAAGTAGTGTTACTTTTGGTCTATAAGTGATGGCAGGAAAGGAAGATGAGTCGTGCTTTGGAACAAGCCGTAGACCTGAACCCGGAACTATCCTACAACAGACATATATGTTTTGTTGATAACTAACCATGCAGGTGGAACGGCGGACAGAACTATCCTCAGGTCCAAATTGACACTATTAGTGTGTTGTTGACTAACCCTGCAGGTGGAACTAATATTGAACCATTTCTATCTCCGTGGAATGGTTTGAATTAATATGATAGAATTTATTTGATTATCAATTAATATGCTTTCTTTGTAAGGGTGTATGTGATAATTGATAATACCTTTTATTATGTGATCACCACTTGGAATTAATTGAATAGGCCACTTACTTTTTAGTAAAGATTATCATAATAAAGCAAGAATATTTTTAATGCATGACCATCTTAGAAGTACGGTGCATAAGTCATTTGAATTTCTTTCCATGCATAATTAAATATTCACTTTATTGAGTTGGCTTATATTGACTAATGCTTTATGAAGAGAATCTCCACTTGCCATGATTGCATGCTTTTTAAAAGTTGGTCCTATCTAGCTTTATCCATGGAAAGAATCCCTACGTGTTAATTGAATGCTTATCTATGCTAAGTGGGTATCCTTCTATCCTTATTAAAAGTTGACCGTAGCTTTTCTAAGTAAAATATTGAGATAAATATTTTAGTACATATTTGCATGATTAGACACATAACTTTTGGAAAGTATCTTTTATATTAATGTAGCATTTGATCTTACTTTATGGAAAGGTGGCCGTATATTTACTTACCATACAAGTTGAATTGCTTATTTGCTTTCCCTGATTATTGAAATTTGAAATAATCTTTTTTTGAGTGGGTTGTTGACTTCTTGGAATAAAACGTTGAATACTTAATCATGTTAAGTGCTCTAAAAATATCTTGGGAGCAATAATTTTGGTTGTAAAGATATTAAAGGCAGCTCTCCAAGATGGAAAGCAATTCAAAATACAACTAGGCAAGGATCAACATTGATTTAAATGAGAAGAAGGATCCAACGGATTTATTCAGAGAAGGCCTATATAATCGAAGTGGCTGGAGAGAAAAAGGTGTGCTTGACCAGAGAAATATTCAGAGACACACTCGAGAAAAATACGAAGTTCAAGGCACCTGAAACTGCTCACTCGGAGTTCTAGATAGAGTTTCTTCTTTCCCTTCTTCATATTGTAATGGGGTTTTGAGGATTGGCTAAGAGTAGCCTCCTCGGGTTGGTTTGTGTGTGTGAGAGCTTTGTTGTAAAGCTGAGAGGCTCTCTACCCGCAAGGTAGAGATGCATAACTCTTCCTAGAGAGGATAGAGTTGGGGTGGCTCAAGGGTAGACTAGGAGAGTTTCCCTTGTAATCATTCAAAGGCTTTTTAGTGGAGTTGTTAAAATTCCTCCGAGGGAGGTCGAGGTTTTTTAATCCCTCTGAGCCAAGGGATTTTTCCTCGTTAAATTCTTGTACACTTTACTATTTCGCAATTCCCTTTATCCCACACTAGAACTCGGCGAAAAACTGCCACGGTTCCACACACACAATTCACCCCCTCTTGTGTTGCTAACCGTTTTCATCGATGACGCTGTTTATTTTCGTGGCATAAAAGCCAGACATTTCACTTGCCCCACATGTCCCTCAAGTCCTCCACTAACAGTGAAGCTAGTCAATATACGTGAAAAACAGGGTCGATCTGCACCCATACGTACGTGTGTGAATTAAGATCCCGTAAAGTTAAATGGAATAAATTATTTTTATTATTTATATATTACGAACTACAAACCCCATCACCCATAGCCACTAATATATACACTTAAAATATTCTAAAATGAATTACTCCGTTATGCACAAGAGGGATGCATGTATCGTGTATGCATCACTGTGCATGTATGAATGTCAGAATGTATATATTTTAAATATGAATTCAGCACCAATTTGAAGGCCCTTGCTCAAAATACAAAATTGAGGCCCGCTTTAATATAAAAGACTTAAAAAATATATTATTGATCTAAATTCTTATTATACTGAAATTAAATCAATCGAATACTCATTAAATAAAGCGATTAAAAAACTATAGGTAGTAATTTTCCCATCTCAAATAATTAATAATTACATTTTTTGTAAAGTGTTTCAATTTATGAGGGCATTGAGTATGAATTTAGTTGCAACCCATATTCATATACGATAGCGTACTATATTATATTAATTAATTAATGTTAGTGACCTAGAAATAATACTACTAGTGCCTTATAAGTATTGGGACCCTATGGAAAGTGAATATATGTTCTGTTTAATCTAATTAACATGCTAAAAAAATCATAATTATGTATAAATATAAAAATTAAAGAAGAAAAAGGAAAAAAAATCAAAAGTAGTGTTTCAGCTGGCCGGGTCATTGAGAACGTGTGGAGATGCTTTTGAATCATGATTGGAAAGTGGATTATTGGATGCCAATTGTACATTTGGTCCTACTCATACTATTATTATTATTCCTCCCGCTTAGCTATTTTAAGCCTCGATTGTGTGTACATTACATTACATTACATTACTTTATCGGGTGTATTTTAATCAGTGGAGAGAAAAAGAGCACGTTTTAAATTTTTAACCACGTGCAACCAGTGACCGTGTTTGTTTTTTGAAACTTGACAAAATATATAATTGGGATGACACAATTCATGCATGGTTTAGATTATTTAACCTTGAATAGCCATTTTTGTTGAAATTATTATCAACTTTTGCTATAACTAATGGTTATACATAGTCCGTTTTGGTGTGGTATTTTGCCATTTTTATAAGACTTTAAATTCGATTTACAAACGCATAAAATAAGAGTGTGAGTTATGACATTGTGTTTTGAAATGGACTCGATCAAAAGGACTACTAACATTGTGTATTGCAAAGATCTAATCACGAGATGAAACTTTCTCAACTTTGTCACTAAATATGTCACCCTTCGAACTAAAGAACTCCGTTCAATTAAACAACTTGTATGAGAATATAATAGCTTTAGTTTTGTGATTGGAACTTAGCTTGCTTTTTGCCTTTTTTGATAAGAACCCACGTGGAAGTGAAGGAATGGCTGAAGACGAAAGAATATAATAATGTAATGTATCTGTCTATATCATGTGTATGAAAAGAAGTACAAGGCCTACATATATAGCAGTAGCATACGTTGCTAAACAAGCAAATAAACTAGGGGAAAATGGAAACTAATAATCCAACCTTTTAGCGGTCTTCTTTCAATAATCCCACATTTTGATTATTCATAAATAATCCAACCTTTGCACCTCATCTTCATTCATTGGTCCCTGGTCGGTTAATGACCTACTATTCCAAGTTATTTTCTTATCTTTGCAAAATATTATCTTTGTGAAAGATGAGATTTATGGTATAATGATTTGCAAAGATAAGAAAATAGCTTGGAATAGCAGGTCATCAACCGGTCAGGGACCAGTGAATGAAGATGAGGCGCAAAGGTTGGATTATTCATGAATAACCAAAAGGTTGGATTATTGTAAGAAGACCGCTAAAAGGTTGGATTATTAGTTTCCATTTTCCCATAAACTAGGAAAGGAAAGAAATAAAATACATTCCAAGAATAAAGATATGCCAATAATGAAATAGGCTAAATATATGATGTCTAATATATTCTGTCTGTAATACCCCCCTCAAGTTGGAGCATGAGGATTCAAGATGCCCAACTTGCGAAGAAGAAATTGAAACTGTGTCTTCCCAAGAGCCTTGGTGAAAATATCAGCAAGTTGAACAGTGGTAGGAACATAACTCGGGGCAATAAGGTTCTCCTTGATAGCGTCTCGAACAAAATGGCAATCAACCTCAATATGTTTAGTGCGTTCATGAAACACCGGATTACGAGCAATATGTAAAGCGGATTGACTGTCACAAAAAAGTGGAATTGCCTTGGTATGATTAACACCAAGACTGAGAAGAAGAGCTTTGAGCCATTTGAGTTCACACGTAGCGGCAGCCATAGCCCGGTACTCGGATTGTGCAGAAGAACGAGAGACGGTGGATTGTTTCTTAGTTTTCCAGGAAACGGGAGAGTGACCAAGAAAAACCAACCAACCAGACAAAGAGCGGCGGGTAAGAGGACAGGTCGCCCAATCGGAGTCACACCATCCTGTAAGCGAGAGATCGCTATCAGAACGCAAAAGAATACCCTGTCCGGGAGAACCCTTTAAATAGCGCACAACACGAAGGGCCGCATCCCAATGAGCTTGGCCAGGTGCCTGCATGAATTGAGAAAGAACATGAACAGAGTAAGTCAGGTCCGGACGAGTCACCGCAAAATAAATAAGTCGGCCAAGAAGGCGTCGATAGGGTTCAGGATCTGCAAGAGGAGGGCCTGAAGCGGTAGCAAGAGAATGATTTTGTTCAATGGGAAAACTGGCTGGTTTACTGCCCAAAAGTCCGGTTTCGGATAATATATCCAAGGTGTATTTGCGCGCTGGGTAAGAAATAAGCCGGAGGGGTTCCTAGCAACCTCAATACCAAGAAAGTAGCGGAGTGTGCCCAGATCCTTCATATGAAAGCAATCACTGAGATAAGATTTAAAATGAAGAATAGCCTCATGATCATTTCCAGAGATGATTAAATCGTCCACATAGACCAGAACATTCAATTGAATAGAACCCTTAGTCCGAGTAAACAAGGAATAATCTGCATATGACTGCAGAAAGCCATATCTCTTAGGGGGGGGTAGCCCATGTGTTAATATAGCACTTCGTTCATTCAAATTTTTCCGGTGTGGGACATTTAACACCCCTCCTCACGACCAGACACTTCGTCTGGATCGTGCCATCATTCATTTTTTTTTCATCGGTCCATTTTTTTCATCCGGTCGTAATTGTCATTTTTTATAATCGTGTCATCATGATTCATAAGGGGCCCCACACCATGGATCGATTTGGCTCTGATACCAAGAAGGAATGGCTGAAGACGAAAGAATATAATAATGTAATGTATCTGTCTATATCATGTGTATGAAAAGAAGTACAAGGCCTACATATATAGCAGTAGCATACGTTGCTAAACAAGCAAATAAACTAGGAAAGGAAAGAAATAAAATACATTCCAAGAATAAAGATATGCCAATAATGAAATAGGCTAAATATATGATGTCTAATATATTCTGTCCGTAATAGGAAGAGTTGTTTCCCTTTGAAAAAGCTGAGCATTTGGTTTTATGTCGAGAGAACACAGTCTAAATTATATGCAACCTAAACTTGAAAGTTGAAACCATTAAATCAATACGCTCATAAGCAAGAAATATATTCTAGTCTTCTAGCTTTAATGTTATTATGTTTTGTTTAAAAAGTCTGGTCTTAACTTTTTCTTAACCTATGTTTTTTTAAATTGTCCAGTCTGTTCTGAACTAATCTGATCTTATTTGGGATTGAAACATGTCTAATTAAAAACATCATTACTATGGTCTAAGTCTTGTATGATCTTGTCTGTTCTCAAACATGTCTACTTACAAATATCCTTACTGTGGTCTAAGTCTGGTATGCTCTTTTTTTTTTGGACAGGAAACACCCTACCTATTTATTAGAAAAAGATGGAACAACATACATTGAGTAAGAGGACTGGACCAATGCCTACTCAGGATCAAACACATAGGGATAACTAACAACATCAAATTTTAAGATACCAACAAAATGATTGAAATGATGACTCGTGGTATGAATAGAAACACTCCTATGAGCTAAATATTCAGCTGCGCGATTGATCCTCGGGTGGATGAAAGTGATCACACAATTATGATTCTTGAGTCTTTGCTTGATATTATGGAGTCTCGGCCAGTATCTCCAATGTTGAGCAGATATCCCAGTGAGACCCTCGTAAATGTTTCTATTATCAACTTCAAGAATGAAATTAGTCACATTAGTATTCTTGATGTTGATAATATTATCAATAATGGCGTCATAGGAAGCAAGGATTTGATCCTGGTGTGCGGTGGTGTGAACCTTGTGGGCAACGTAAAAACCCTTATCATTACGGATAAGGGCAGCAGTTCTTAGAATAGATGGAGTCGAAACCCGAGTAGCAATGTTGATCTTATGGTAGTTTGGGGGTGGTTTATTCCACGCCTTGGTGCTAGGGACGTTTTTGGTCTTATGCGTGACTGTGGTGCAAATGGTGAAAATGGTGTTTGGTCCAGTAATTATGAAAGGTTTAACATTAGAAATGGCAAATATGTCAGATTTAATAGTATAAATTGCCTCAGACAAAGTGACATGATTACCATCATGGATAATTTTGTTACGATACTTCCAAAGATTCCAAACAATGGTATTTGGAAGGACATAGTTAAAATCCTTAATATTGCCCTTATAGTTGTTGTACCAGTCAGCAAGGTAAGGATTTATGGAGTGGGTAGAACAAGGTTTGAAATTTAAAGATATTTCAAAATGATGCCAAATAGATTTTGCAAGGTTGCAAGATAAAAAGAAGTGGTCAATGGTATCATTAAAGGGACAAACCGGGCATTTATGAGGTCCGACAACGCCGATCTGCCTAAGTTGATTTTCAAAAGGGAGCAGATCATTAGCAAGTCTCCATAAAAAAAAAGAATTTTTTTGGCAGTTCGACCATTCCAAATATAATTAGAAGTATTCGTAACATTCATTTTAGGCCTTATCGCAACATAGGCACTAGAAAAACTGAATTTGCCATTTGAGGTGGGTTTCCAAAGGTAGCCATCCTCACATGTTGTGAAATGGACTTTGGTGCCATTTATCTTGTCTCTAAGGTATGTGGGAAGGCAGTTTGGTATGCTCTTGGTATGCTCTTGTCTCTAAGTCTGGTATGCTCTTGTCTGTATGAGTTCTGGTCTTTTTAAGTATGAGATATATGTACTTAACTAGGAATTTTGTATATATCTTGCAATCCATCGGGCTTAGCTAACAATTACTTCTAGGATAGATTAGATATAGAGCTACGAATTATACGTCAATCAAGAATTCACTTTTCATCACCCTATATAAGAAAAAGACCACAAATAAATATTGATACCAAGAATGTCTTTGACTCTGTCAGATTTGAGATTCCTTTAATTTCAAATTCGAAATAAGACATCATCCTTTGATTGTGTCACAAACTATGACCAAGACATCATCCTTTGATTGTGTCACAAACTATGACCATTTACAAGAGTCGAGAGGCAAGAGCAATAATCAATATCCAATCTTGGCCTGTTTTTGCAAAACTTATTTTCGTCTATTGTATGTTGCTCTTTCACACGTTACCAATCGCGTTGGGTTAAAAATTCTTATACGCAACAAGGATGATAAAGAAATTAATCTAACAAAAAATGTTGTATGTAAGGAAGTCTGGAAGTGTTTCAGAATTTGTAATAAATTTAAAATTTCATACTCTCTCCGTTTATTGATCCTTTTCGAATTTTGCATACTCATGCATATATCGCACAAATACTTTACTAATTTCACTTTGTAGTTGCATTTTTATAGATCTTATTCTTCCTGAAATACATATTTAATATATCCCACTTCCAAAAAATCAGTTCCATTTTATTTTCAATTGGCAAGATTGTTACACACTGAAGAACATAATCTCCACGTACTCACCATGTACTAGGATCCAAGGAAATTTGGTTTTGAAATTCCGAACACGTACACAAACAATGAAACAACACACACATGTAAAGATCATAATATTTTGGAGCATTAAAAAATACGGAGTATTAATTAACACAGAGCTAGATTTCATGTGTGCATTAAAAGTGTTAATTTTAATATAGCTAGGGTCACGTATTGAAGAAGTGTAAAGTAATACCACAAGTATGTTAAAACTTTTGGCACGTTGACTCAAAAGTACGTATCACTTTTCAGTATCACATTTCAATAGAAAGTAGATTAAAGACACGTTGGCGTATAAAATTATAAATTGAAACTGTGGTCATTGCATTGTTATGTCAATACTCCGTACATTGTAATGTCATTGCAGAATCTCACAGGGCCAATTCTTGACAAATTAGAAGGAATAATGAGGGAAAAATAAAAATTTGTTGTCTAAAACCATATTCGAATTAAAAGGGATATATATAAATATATATATAATACATATGTGATTTAATTGATAAAACGAAAAAAGGAGAATCAGACCACATTGGAAACTTAATTAGCCCTCGTTATAGACACTGAAAAACTGAGCGTAGATTTTAGAGATGACCGAAACTGTTGATAGTTTGGTCATATTTGACCTGTTAACATAATGTTGACTTTTGTGATTTCTTTTGAAAAAGGCTAAAGGGTCAAATAGGCCCTTGAACTGACTTAAAGTGTTCAATTAGCCCCTTATATAGGAGGTTCTGCCCGGCCGTCGCCAATTGGGGCAGTTCCCAGTGGATTTTATTGATGAATTTTTTTGAGAATCTTCTTCATTAAGTCTACTTTACTCATACCAAATTTCAGCTAAAAATTCAACCGAGAAAGTAGTCAAATGATTTTTTGAAAACAACTGCGAAGTTAAACAGCGTAGTACATTTTGGAAAATCATTTGACTGCCTTCCCGGTTGAATTTTTAGCTCAAATTTGGTATGGGTAAACTAGACTTAATGAAGAAGATTCTCAAAAAATCGCATCAAAAAATTCCACCGGGAACCGCCCCAATTAGCGACGGCCGAGCAGAACCTCCTATATAAGGGGCTAATTGAACACTTCAAGTAAGTTCAAGGGCCTATTTGAACTTTTAGCCTTTGAAAAATGTCACATTTTTATGCTTCACCCCCTAATCGGTATCACCCATGAAAATCAGGAAACACAGATTCGGCCAATTGTGGAGGATCCTAAGATTTAGAGCCCGTTTGGTAACACTGAAATCGTCTGAATCGGCTGATTCTGCTGAAATTTCTGAAGTTGTAGCTGAAATGACTTTATTGATTGATTCTGCTGATTTATGAAAAAATTATATTTAAAATATATTTTATTAATAAAGTAAAGAAAAAATTTTATGAAAAAGTAGCTAAAATGGTCATCTACAGTAACTTCAGCCAATACAGCCATAAAAGTAACTCCAACCTTACCTTTTTTATTATTACACAGTTCAGTGCGCGAAATCAAAAGTTACGTGTTTGGTTAAAAAGTTGGCTGAAAAGCTTGATAAGCCGAAAAACAGAGTTGACAAACGGCCTCTAAGTAACATAGATAATTGTGAGAATGAATGAGAGATCTTGGATTCAATTCCAATCTAGGGGAGATGAGGGATATTTTGTTTCCCATGATTCTCTTGGCCTTCTTTCACGGAACAGTTCAGCGGCTGTTTGTTTCCCATGATTCTCTATTTCTCTTGGCTTTCTTTCACGGAACAGTTCAGCGGCTGAGAAAGGAGAGGGTGATAAAAGAGGTAACATGTTTCGTGTGGTGAGATGAGCATTTCGGAAAGGATACACTCTTTAGAGTAAGTACTTATGAAACTGACTGTGATCAAATTCGAATTTAACTGTCTCGCGACTTTGAGAGTTTGAGGGATAGTTTATCCATTCAGAATTATGAGAGTGTACGCGCTAGAGGATTATAAAAAAAAATTGAATGAGAAGAGAGAGAAGGGAAGAGTTCAAATTAAATGTTCAATAATGAGAAGCGAAAAAAACCAAAAGACAAAGTAATGTTCATCCACGTAGTGTACTACTGTACGATATCTATGTGCCGAATGAAAGAACACCTAAGATCTAATCTTAGATCTTGGCTTCCCTCCTCCGGAAGCAAAACACATACTGACACACTCTACTCCCCGCTCACTTACTCCATTTATTAATTAATTACCCCCATGCTTGTCTCTTGTAACTCTTACTTAAACACCCCATCATCTTATCTGGCCTCATTCTTTTTACCGGCCTACCCCCCAATTGTCATCTCCATCCATCCTCCAGTGCAAATTGTAATTAATTAAGAATAGAAATAAGAAATCTAAGGATCACACTCCATTTCTGAGACCCCTAGCACCAGTCGGATAGTTAATTGAAAGAATGTAAATTGAACTTTAATTACAAACTGACAGCTAGAATGTGAGACTCTGGCCCCGATATTTGCAGAAACCCTATGCATTTTTACACGACCTTTATGCGTTTTTAGATAGTAACCTTTCATCGCAGTTACGGGAATATGAACTCAAGACTTACTCCTTTTGACGCTCTCTATCTACGAGTTGAGCTACGCCTGCCGTCAAGAATAGAAAGATATAATATTGTTCTTTTTGGCAACATGTCATTGTTGTTTAATAAAAAGATAAATGTTTGGAGAGTTTCTATAGATTTTCTAAAATAAACTAGCTGTTGGTTAATTAGTTATTTACTTATTTATAAGAATTTGATTAAGGGCGTGTAAAGTTTCTAAGAAAACCTTTAATTTATTAGAACTAAATTAAGTGTTCGGAGAGTTTCATCAGTATATTGAAAAATTCATTGTCGAAAAACTTGTAATAAGTTGTAATACAACCAAGTACTTAGAGTTTCATCAGTATATTGAAAAATTCATTGTCGAAATACGTTGGTTGCGTATTTAGTAGGATTTTTTTGATGATGAACCCCAAATTCCAAATAGCATCTGAATGTACTTGATCGGCCATTATTACTTTTCCGAAACAACCAATTCTAAAAGCAGAAATTGCCCAAAAACAATGTAAAATTATATTGGGAAAACTATCAAATAAGCCCCCGAATTTTTTTAAAAAATCAATTAGACTTCTTACTGAAAGTCCGTTCAATTAAACCCCCGAACTCTTTTAAAAATGGCAAATCTTCCTTTTAGCCGGTACTAAACAAGTTGCCCGTCTACTTTATACACGTGGTCACACACATGTCATTTTTCATTTTTTCCATTTCCTTTTTCTTTTTTCCTTTCTTTTTTCCCTTTTCCCCTGCCTTCCGTCGGTCCAGGCGTCCAGCAACTTCGTCCCTCACCCCTTTCTTCGCCGCCTTTCTTCTTTCTTCTACTAAGCATCTATCTTCCGCCGGCGTAACACTGCACATAGTCTGATAAAAAACCCAGGTTGCCAGCTCAAGTACTTACCGCATGCCGATCGTCCCCTTTCTGCGATTCGATGGATTGGAAGTCGGGGAAGATGCTCCGTCGAAGCTTCTAGGTCAGCAAGTCGGCGACGGTGCTGTGTGAAGCACTGAATCTTCCAGACTACTTCCAGATCTGTAGTTTCAATTTGGACGCAGACTCTAGTTGACGGTAGAGAAGAGGCGCAGGGAGGAGGGTGAAGCTGGGAAACTACGAACATGACATTAGGGGAAGAAGAAAATGAGAAAAGAAAGAAATAGAGAAGGAAGAAAGTTGCAGAGGCGCAGGGAAGAAAGCGCCGGGAAGAAGGGAGCAGGAAAGGAAGAAAAAGAAAAGGAAAAAAGAAAATAAAAAAAATATAAAAAAATGCCACATCAGACATAACACATACAACTAACCGGATAATTCACAAAATACTTACTAATAAGAGGATTTGTCATTTTAATTGAGTTTGAGGGTTTAATTGAGTGAAGTTTTAGTACAAGGGTGTAATTGATTTTTTTAGAAAGTTAGAGGGCTTATTTGATAGTTTTCCCAATGATATTCTTATACTTGGACATTAATGTGACTAACTTCTGTCATGCTTAGGGCTGGTTTGCAACAACTTTAAAAAAAGTACTTATCAGCTTTTGGGCTTAAAAAACACTTATTTACCAAACACTACCAATATTTTTTTTACTTTTCTCGGCTTTCGTGTCAAAAGTGATTTCCCCCTTTTTATACCCCAAAAGCACTTATTTTATCAAACATTACCTACTTTTACTTTTCAAAATCACTTTTTTCTCAAACACTATCAACTTTTACAACTAATCACTTTTTCCAAATCACTCCAAAAGTGCTTTTTTTAAAGCAGAAGCTGTTGCAAACACTGCCTTGGTGAATTTGGACATTAATATTGCCACATTAATGTGTAATAATGCAAAAATATGACAATATGACTTCGGGTGTTTATATCGGTGATTGACTTATGAAAAATGAAGAGAGAGAATCTCCTCAATCTCTCTAAAAATTCAACAAAAACTTGAAACCCATATGGAATTCCGGCAACCTCCATACCGCCGGAATCAACCCCACCTTCTGTGTGTCAATTGCAACTGCACACATGAGACCTTTCATCACTACAGCAAAGGGTACAGAGGCCAAAGCTACCAGCAACAGTGGGAAAATCCTCAGGCTAGATCCACTGTTAGACAGTTCACGGGGAACAGAGCATCTTCCTCCCGAGCAGGTACAAGACTCTATCCAAATAAGAACTCCCATAACTGGCGTAGCTCGGCTTCATACTCTACTCGCAAGAATGGAAATAATGCCTATCACACGAGGTATGACGCACACAACAAAAACTATCACGGTCCTTCAGCCTTATTTCCTATTGAAAACCGACCAAAACACGCCCTAATTACAGGGCCAAATTTACTGGGACCAAGACGAGATGCTCAGCGTCGTCAACAACATCAAACCCAAACGGGGAAAGACGATGGCTGGAGCACCGTCATCTACAGGGTTCGACGGAATCCCCTCCATCCCAATGGCAGACTTCCATCGTTCCAAAGCACCGAATCTGAAATCAACAGGACAGCGGGTATCAAGAATCGCTATCACCGATTGCGATTCGAAAATGAAACCCAGCCCTTCGAATTCGATTTTGAATCTAAGACATCGCCCCTGGTAAATGAAACCCATAGAGCCAGAGAAGACCGCAGTGGATTTGTGAAAAAAATAAGGCGAGATAATCCAAATCGCAGCCAAACGAGACCACCAGAATACGTTGGTTCAAGTCCGGCGACCTCCGCGCTAGTCGTCCAAACCATCTCATCATCTGGTCCCTCGGCTGAGAAAATCAATGTCACACAGCTTTCTCCATACATCCACAGTCTGGATGTCGAGGAAACACGCCCAACGGGTACCGCCCAACTCACATGGGCTGACGTTGTGAGGAACGAAATGGACAAAGATTACAGCAAGGCAGTTTCAATCTCAGCCCAAGCTCCTCTTTCCAATGAAAAACGAATTATTTCACATATGGACCCGACTGAAATAATCCAGGCAATGCCAGATGACTTCTCAAAGGACACAGAGGACACAGAAAAGTTTCACTTCTTTGGAGAGCAGGGATTTGACTCCATCAAACTTGAATCATCGGTATTCAGATTTGCTATCAGAAATAAGGAAATTGTTATCTTTGAAATAAAAAAATCCTCTTTACAGATGATTAATTTCAAAACAGAGCTTGCACCCCAGATCTACCGTTTTATCCACCATATCACAAGCTCAAAAAAATTTAAGCACGGGTTGAGCAAAAAGTTTGGCTCTATCACGGTCTCTTCGGTGCTCAACAGATCGGGTTGTTATCTGATGATTGCAAAGGAAAAGGGTGGTTACGTTCTAGTCCCCCGGGGCCCACAAAACTCCAAACTCAATGATTTTATGAGATTATTTGCTAATTTTGTTGGATTATGTTATTCAGAACAGGAGGAACCAATGCATCAGAAGAATGAGACCTCGGCTGACACTGAAGAAATCTCCATTTCGAAACTCATATTTAACTATGAAGTTCAGAGAGCCTATGGCGAGAAGCAACAACCTCTCTATTTTGAGAAACAACCCCAAACTCCACTAATACAGGCTTACTCTGATGCCTCAAACGACTTTGATCCTTCAGATGACTCTTTCTTCTCAGATGATTTTCTAGGACACGCAACCGAAAGTGATCGTCGTCCTCCTATTTCAAACAAGGATGAAATTAGGAAGTCCAAATTCAACAGAACAATTTGTCGTAAAGCAAAGCTGGTCACCAATGAGAATTGCTTGCCAACAGATAACCTGAACACTCAACTCAAAATTTACAGGAAATCTCAAAAGAACAAAAGGCGGCATAGCATGACGACTAGATCACAGTCCAGAGATTTCCCTTGGGTCTAGTTTTTGTCTTTACGTTTTCTTTTCTTTTATGTACTTTTTTTTGCTTTATTTATCTTCTCGCATTGTACTTTATTTTTCTATGAATAAAACAAAATAATAATAATAATAAAAAAAAAAAAATATTGGTGTTTATATCATTAAAAAAAAAAAAAAAAAAAAAATATTGGTGTTTATATCATTAAAAAAAAAAAAAAAAAAAAAAAAAAAAAAAAAAAAAAATGACAATATGACTTCATGTAGTAATTTACTCATATTAAGGGAAAAGAAACGTAATACTCCTATTTTATAATTTCACAATATAATGTTTCTATATATGACTATTTCGGTAAATTTCCCATATTAAAAACCATTTAGTTCACTTTAATTTGTTAGGTTTAATTATCTCCTAATCACACTCTGGTTCAATTAAAGTACACCACGTGATTTATAAATATATTATCTAGTTTCTGGCAAGAACCAATTTTGAAGGACTTTAAAGTCATTTTTGTTAGGTTTCCCTTCCTGTTTTAATTTAATTAACTTCACATGATTTAGTTGGTTTCTTGAGATTTTATATGAAACACATTAAAGTTATTTTGGTTAGCTTTACCTCCTAATCTACAGTTGTTATACCGTCGGAGCAACCCACGGTGAGCATGGTGCTCCCAAAAGCAAAATTCGTGTCTTACTGTTCACGTGCGTGAACAATAACTGTTTTTTTGTTCTTTCCCTTGTTCCAGTAGCAGGGTGATGTAACTCGCGTGTAAAGAGATGTAACTCACGTTGTTGACCAATGTAACTCAGGTCTATTCAAAATGTAACTTGTCAAATACATAGTATAAAAAATAAAATATTGATTTCAATGTAAACAATAAAAAAAGACTAATTGCACAATTGCTTTACATAAATAGTGTATATGTTTTATTTTTTAATGTCAAGGCCATTGAAAATGATTTTTAAAAAATCCTTTTTTTCTTCATTAGCAGGAGTTTATTTTCAAATGCAATTCACGTTGTGACAAATGTAACTCATGTAATTGATCTATAACTCGCGTTATTGTAAAATGTAAATCCAGTGTTTATTTTATGTAACTCATGCGCTGGAATATGTAACTTGTTTTACTCTCTCAACTTCGACTTGTTATACCACTTCAAATATAGTTTTTATAAGAATTATTTTTATAAAAATCATTCTATATTTTTTATTTCTATAAAAAAAATTATAAAAATAATTTGTCTTTGAATAGCATGAGCTTATTTTGTTATGTAACTAGCATTATATTATGGTGTAACTCGTTGTTGAGGTTTATTCCTTCAACCCTCGGGTCCAACACGTAAGCCCAAGGATTTCTAGTGGAGTGTGTATGAATATCTAGCCCAACAAGCAAGTGATATGGATCAAAGAGAACAATAAGTAGCAAGTAAGTGATTAGGTATTATTATCTCTCAATAACTCCCTAATACAATACTTTTCGCTAAGGCTCCGTCGACCGTTCGTCTTACAAGGCAGTAGAAGTGCTGCGGATAAGAATGCTATAGCTAGGGTGCTAAGAATAGAAAGTTGCCAACCCTTTACAATGAAATAAATGCTTCTATTTATACCCGCCAATGGGCAGGTGGCTGTACTGACGTGGAAGCCTGTGGTTCGCTGGTGTCCCAACCACCAAATCTTCAGCATTAAATGCACTTCCCGCCAGAATCTAGGATTCCCGCCTAATTAGTGGGGACGTTCGTCCGCCCGGGGAGCGAGCTGGATAGCTCCAGGTGGCCTCCAAGGGGTATTGGCCGCTCGTCCCCTGGCCTTTGCGGATTCTCGCCATGTGGACTGGACCGCCTCCGATGGCCATGGGCTTGCTCTGACGACGTTCGTCGTCATTCCGGTGACCCGTGGTGTCACGCCCCGGACCTACCGGACACGTCAACAACCCGCCGTACAGTACGAATAGTCAACCGCAGTCCAACTCATCCATACTATACTAGGCGTCATGAATATCATTCACAATAGTACATCCATAAACAATCATAATGCAAAATATTTAATCAAGCAGCGGAAACGTTAATACAAATATCCATGCCACACGTGGCAAACACGGGCGTACAAGCCCCAATAAATTCAAATAGTATCCATGAGCAATATTTAAAATGTTTTCAAAACAGGAACGGAAGAAGCACGAACCACGTCTCCTCCCTTGAATCTCCCCGAAGCAACGGCGGCGGTAGCAACCTTCAAGTCCTACCTGAAACTGTGAGGTGGCCTCCCCCGTGAAGGGGAGGTCAGTACTTGGAAGCATTTGACAAGTACAATGACAACTATACTAAGTATAATCAAAGTTTCAATTTCCAAGACTCTCACATAGGGTGATAATATAATATAGGTCATAACCCGTGGTTACCCTCTTTTGAAAATATACTTACCTTATATATAAAGTCAAGTAGTCGCCCGAAGGCCCATGTTCACTTTGAAAACATTCAACCCTTTCCCCGTGACTTCAAGCCACGCCCATCTATATTAATTCACCATGCTAGAGGCTTCCTCTAGTCATGTTTGCCGTGCTAGAGGCTTACTCTAGTCACTAAATTCGGTGTTAGAGGCTTCCTCTAATCACCTTACGTGCTTTGTGCTGGAGGCTTCCTCCAGTCACATTACATTATGCTAGAGGCTTCCTCTAGTCATCCTACACTACGCTAGAGGCTTCCTCTAGTCGTCCTACACGAATGCTGGAGGCTTCCTCCAGTCATTCTTAATCGTGCTAGAGGCTTCCTCTAGTCACGATACTAACTCGCTAGCAAATTCTATGCCTAGAGTTCCTCAATCTTGAGTAGCCAATGAGGCCTACTCCTAATGTAACTTAGTGGTTACCCATTCCTACCTTAAAGCATCTCATAAGACTACTTAAGGTGCATCTTTCACAATCCAAGTCCTTGGGATTTATTCTATCACTTTTTATACAACATTCCCGATTAGTACATTAAATACTAATCCATAAATCTTTAAACAGCCAAGCTCCTTAACTCATAGTTATAAGGCTTATTCCTATGGATTTTTCTAATCCGTATACGATTTAATCTCAATATCAAAAATATCACTTTTATCCATTCATGATTTCTATTCATGAAGTAAAAGTATATTTTATCACAAAAATTCATGGTTTATACAATCATTATACCTTCACATTTATTATGCATCATCATACACAAATTTCTCATAAATTTGTATGTTATGCATCTTTTATTCACAAACAATGATATTTTCATTTAGGCATTATTAACCATTAATAATCCATGAAAATCACATTTAATTACTTTAGGTAATCTTATGAAATTAACCCAAAGATTATAAGCAATATAGTCAGCCATCCTCACCTTATGGAGTGCTGAATTAGTTGCCTTTGTTAAGCCCTCCGATCAATCCCCGTTCCACACCGATCGAAAGTAAAATTCTGGGCAGAAGGTGAAAGCCGGGCGGCTTTCACGAAAGCTGGGCGGCTTTCGTGGTCTGCAACTACGAACAACCTCCTACACTTGGCGGTTTCCGGCGGTTTCAACTCCTATCGATTCCACGACTCTTCTAAGTTAAATACCACCACTTTATAACAATATTACATACATTTAAACGTGTAAAGCTCATGGTTTAATCCACCATATGATTTCCTAACGTCATACGAAAATAAACTAGCTAGAAGTGTTTGTTGAGTTCTTACCTCCAACACACCTCCTTTCTCCTTGGGTTTTCCTCCTCCAACAATGGAGTTGTGAGAGCTTTTTCTCCTGTGCTTCTACCCCTTTTTGATTGGCCGAGAGAGAGCTAGGAGAATAGATGATAGATGCCTTCTCAATCCACAAATGATTGTGAGACAAAGGCATGAGCCTTTTTTTTGTCTCAAGGGGGCTTCCTATCTCCATCACCCGCAGCTTCCCCCTCCCCCATGTCCCACTCCCACTCATTTGAGTCTAATTAGTGTGTAGGATACCCCAAGTGGGTGTAGAAAGTTCCTCCCAATTATTCCCGCTATTTTTGGCAGGTTGGGCCAAAATAGCACTCGGGTTGTCCAAATATTTTTATCAACTTCGGTTGGCGTTTTATTGGACTCCTATAATTTTATTATGATGCCCCAACTAAATACTTGGTAGCCCATTCTCATATAATGGACCCGATATATAATTTAATTAATCATGCATTAATTAAATATGCCAATCAATTACATGAATTTTATTTGCTAGGAAATTCAAATTCATATCCTCTTTAAATTTCAAGTACAATCGGGTGCGGTGTCACAAGTTCACCCCCCCTTAACGGGAATTTCGTCCCCGAAATTCACAAATGCTTATTCAAACAGAAATGCATATTGCTCCTTCATCAAGGCTTCTGTTTCCCAAGTTTCTTCTTCAACTCGGTCACTCTTCCAAAGGATCTTAACCATTGGAACTTTCTTGCTCCTTAGTTTCTTTACTTGCCTATCAAGTATTCTCACCGGTCGTACGGCATAGTCCAAGTCCTCCCGTATCTCCACGGGTGGTTTCTCCAACACGTGAGACGGGTCCGGTACATATTTCTTTAGCATAGACACGTGGAACACGTTATGTATCTTCTCCAATTCTGGAGTCAACTGTAACCGGTACGCTACGGCCCCGATTCTTTCGAGAATCACAAATGGCCCGATGTATCGTGGGTTAAGTTTCCCTCGGCTTTGGAACCGGATGATTCCTTTCCAAGGCGAAACTTTCAAGAATACCTCATCTCCCACCTGAAATTCCAAGGCTCTCCGGCGCTTATCGGCATAGCACTTCTGTCTATCCTGGGCCGCCTTAAGTCTCTCTCGAATCATCTTCACTTTTGATTTAGTGATTTCCACCAATTCCGTGCTCTCGAGCTTGGCCATGCCAACCTCATCCCAACACAACGGTGTACGACATTTCCTCCCATACAATGCTTCGTATGGAGGCATGCCGATACTTGCCTGATAACTGTTGTTATAGGCAAACTCAACAAGTGCTAAATGGTTGTCCCAATTTCCTTGGAACTCCAATGCACAAGCTCTCAACATATCCTCCAAAATCTGTATAACCCTCTCGGATTGCCCATCTGTCTGGGGATGAAAAGCAGTGCTGAACTTCAACTTCGTTCCCATGGACTCTTGAAACTTCGGCCAAAAT